TAAAGGCTGTTGGCCTCAGGAGGGCCATCCAGATACTGGGGCTGGGGCTGCCCGCTCTCCCTGCGGTGCCCCTGGCCCCCACGTCTGCCCCAGGCCCCCACGTCGTCTGCTTGTCCATTTGTCACACCTGGACCCCGAGGCACCTGCCTCGGCCCCAGCTTCGCGCAGGCGCCGACCCCTCGTCCTTCCGAGGGGCGGGGCGGCCCACAGGAACCGGTTCTCCGCCCGGCCGGTTCCTCAGGCAAGAGGCGGGGTTCTGGGAGGACAGGCCGGCCGCCTTGGGGCGGGTCCCCTGGGAGCCAAGCCTGGCGGGGATTCCAGACCCAAACACCAGGGGCCGGGTGCCAGCGGAGCGCCCTGGGCTGCCCCTTCCCTTTCTTCTTTCAAGCCAGAACACTGAAACCTTACCTAGGATCTGTCCCCACAAAGCACAGCAGGGAACAACAGCCCTACCCCACCCCCCCATGGGCAGTTTATGGGGCTTCCTGCTCAAGCCAGTGGGAGTGGGGGTGGGATGTGGGTTCCTATCTGTGCAACCGAATTCGGGATTTGACAGCTTCCCAGAGACCAGAAGATCCTAGCTAGAGAATGTTACTTAGGGAAAAGGCAGTAGCTGGAGAACTGTCTCCTGAACCCCGTAAGTCCTGGCCCCTTCAGTATCTGGGACTCTTCTCATAACCTTCAGGTCTGGTCCCAGGTGGAGTACCAGGCCACACACAGCTTAAGCTGTGGCCGGCTCTTGGATAGAAGCAGGGAAAGCAGCCACTTCCTCCCTTCACAGCCTATAGGTCTGATCACCATCTAGTTACTTCTCAGGGAGTTGGAGTCTTTCTTGACAGTATCACAGCCTGACAGTCCTAGAGGCCTTCAAGCCAACCCCAAATGCCAAGCCATAAAATCATTAAAGTTCCCATTCCTAAAGCAGAGAAAGCCTCCTGCCAAGCTTGGGTCATTGAGGGCCAGAATTCTGGAGGAGCACGGTCTCGTGTCTCTTTGGCATACACTTTGGCACGCTTAGGAGGATGCATCGGCATGGTGACAGTGACAACAGGTGAAGGTGGCCTTGCCCAAATGGCAAACAACAAATCTCCTACCAAAGACAAGGAAGGGACACCCAACAAGACGGTCACCAGACAAGGACCCCATTCGGAACATGCCTTCTGTCTCTACATCAGGAAGACTGTAGGTGACAGTTCTCCACCTGCTGACAAGCATTCTAACAGCCACCCTGGTTGACATTTTCGTGTTTCAGGAAGGGGACTAGCGAAAGGGTGAGAATGGCAGGGGTAGGCACTCTTCAGCAAACAGGAAAGTAACTCCCATTTGGGGGGCAGCCCCCCCCACGCCCTTGCACAGAGGCCTTTTCAAACACTGAGCTTCACCCACCCATGTTCTGAGGACAGGGCAGCTACCTGAAAACTTACCCGTGGTAGCCCAAGAAAGGCCACCCCAAATCTCCAGAGAAAACCTCAGTGCCTGTGAGCCAGCATCAGCCCCTCAAGGGCAAGAACCGAGCCCGGGGCGGGGGTGGGGGGCAGCCTCACAGCCCAGGGGCCTCAGAGACCGGTCTCCTCTGGACCAATGTCTCACCTCAAAGACCAGAACCAGGACGTCTGAGATGTCCTTCTTGTCCAGCACACAGTTCTCAAATCTGTTAGTTTTTCAGCAAAAAGACCATGTGGGGCCTCTTCCCATCTGGAAGTAAGGCTGCAGATAGACCTGAGACTGGAAAAGTCGCTTCACCTCCTGGTCCTGGCAGCCCTGGACCACACTTTTATGACGGGGTTAGTACTGTGTAGGTGAGCCCTCCAAACAGCCCCTTACTGGCCCGCTCTAGTTAAGTCACTCTAGCCCCCTGAACCCCACCTACTCTCAGTTCTCCTTCCCACAAGTGGGTCTCCACCTGGGCGCACGGCTTTTTCTTTCTAAGCTGAGGCCATCTCTTTCTTTGGCCTCCACATGAATGCAGTGGTCCCACAGGTCACTCCTACCAACACACAAACACCAAATAAGTAAGTGTAATTTTAATTTTTTTAATAAACAAACAAACAAAAATAACCCTTTGTATAACATCTAATTATCTTTACCAAGCTGTATTATATACATGTATATACATATACACACACATACATGTATCAGTGTGTATACATATATCAGTTTGGGATTTTTTTGTTTTGTTTTGTTTTGTTTTGTGTTTTGTTTTTGTTTTTCTTCACCTTTTCCAGGTTCTAAGATGTCCTGTTAAATGTATTTTTGGGTTTGGGGCACAGTAGATATGTGTGCGCATGTACTAAATTTACAAAGGAAAAATTTTCAGCAAGAACACAATCTTTCCTCCCTCAGCCCTCATTTCCTGTTCTGGGGCAATGAGGATCAGGGTTTCTAGAGTATCAAATCATCTTTAGAAATCATAAATCGGTCACTTCACTCTACTCTCCAACAGCTTCCTGTGGAGCTGACAATACAATGCAGCCTCCCCCACCACCACTCACTCGCAGCCAGGTGCAACGAGCCAGGCTCTAACCCTCCTGATCCTTCAGGCTCTCTTTTCCAACCACAAAACTGCATACTTGGTTCTGACCTGGGGCTAGGAGGGCATCTTCGGTGCCTCAGCCTGGAATGCCCCTCTCCCCAGCTGTGTGCAGCTGGCTCCATCTGTCTTCAGGCCTACATTCAGTTCCTTCCAGGGCAGTCTTCACCGGCCTCATGACACCCCCACCGCCCTATGCTGCCTCCCCACCTATTTCTTCTCACGGGGTCTGGTACTGTCTTCACAGACACCCATTAGAAAGCAGCCTCTCTACAGATAGGCAGCCCACCTGTCTGTCCACCTGTTATCACACTGCCAAGCACAGGCCTGGTGGGTACCTGGCCCATCCTTTCCACAAGTTTCTGTCGAGGGATGAACCAGATGGCTTCTGCACTGGTTTTCATCTGCAATCGGCCAGGTGAATAGCAAGTTTTCCCACACTGGTCACCTTCCCCCAAGTGCCTGGTGAGGGTCAGAGGGTCAGGGGAGAAGGAAAGGGATGCCCCTGGCTCTCACTCCCTGTGCTATACAGCAATAAAGACAAGAACTTGTGCCTACCCTACACTCCCAGAAAGCACTCCAAATGCTACCGCAAAGTTGGAGGTGACAGCTTTGCCCCTCTCTTAAAAAGTCCCAGATGCAGTATGTATGCCCTGGCTGCTAGGCTAGATAGAATGGGTTCTCAAGTGAGCCCCAGCGACAGGAAACATACTACCTGGGGAACAGAACCCTCCAGGGCAGGCAGCCTGCCGGTCCCATGAGCCTCAGACACCTAGGATCCTCCCAGTGGAAATCCATCCAGTTCCAGAGACACAAATGCACATCCAATCCTGTGTCCCCGGGATACCCTTCTGAAGACATTTCCTTCCTGGGGCTGTTTCCAGGGAGAATGCTACATGGTGCAAGACGAATCTTTAAGAATGAGGAAAGGAGGGAATGAAATGCCTTGCACAAAAACTGTGTAGGGAGGGAAAGGAAAGGAGGAAGAAAATATGCTCAAGAAAGTCAAAGCAGATAAATACCAAGAAGGTACGTTTGATCTGAAGGATCATAATCAAGAGAACATAGGAGTGTGAGGTCACTTCCTCCCCCAGAAGTGATAATTAAATGGGCACAATACCAAAGAGTTCTTCTGGGCTCCAGCAAGGTCATTTAAATTACAATAGCCCAGGTTGGAGATGCTGCTCCGTGGTAGTTGCTCTCCCAGCATACACTGCGCCCTGGGCTCCATAACTGTTGCTACAATAATGACAGCTACCTAGGCATGTTGGTGCATAGCTTTAATCCCAGCACTCAGGAGACAGAGGCAGGAGAATCTGAGTTTGAGGCCAGCCTCATCTACAAAACAAGTACCAGAGCAGCCAGGGCCACACAGAGACCCTGTATCAAAAAACAAATAATAGTAACTATTATTATTTACAAATATAATTAATAATAATGATGATATAGACAAGAGCAAATTTCCCGAACGCACACACTGAATATGGTACCGATGATCTTCTGCATGTTAGACTAGAGCTCTTACCACTAAGCTACACTCGCGACAGCCAAACACTTACTGCGCGCCGCACAGCTCCTGAGATTGCACTAAGACTTTTCATCCTCAATACCACCCCACGAGTCGGATACCGTCAGATTTTAACCTCCTTTTACAGATAAGTAACCCGAACAAGGGGGCTGTGTTAAACTGCCGATGACGGCACCACCAGCAATTGCACTGCTGGTGTATAACTCCAGCTTCCTGGTTCTCACTACCAGGTTATCTGGCTCTCCGTGGTTAAAAGCCTTCCAAACCAGTTATCTTCAAATCATCGCTTCGTACCAGTTACAAAGATAAATGCTCAGATCCGCCCTCCTTTTTACTGGAGAAATACAGGCGATGTTTGGAAAAACCGCCAGGCTCAAGCGGCCCCTCTCCGTGAGGACCAGGACCCAAGTGTGCCGAACCCAGAACCCACAGAGGAACTTGCTACCGCGTCAAATAGCTGGAAACAGGGTCTCTGGAAACCCTGCTCCGAGCAGCAGCATCTCCGCCTTAGGTCAGACCCCTCCGCCAGCGCCAACGCGGAGGCGCCGGGCCCGGAAATTCCCACAGAGCTAAAGCAAACTTCCCAGGAAAACTCCTCGGCTTCCTTGTCACAGAGATCGCTGCCAAGAGCGCCAGCTGCTGGGGACCCTCCCAAGCGGGAGCCGCCGTTCGAACGCCCGGGGTCCTCCCGGAAAGGTCCAGGGCTGAAGTTCACGTCCAGCCCAGGCCGGCCCCGCCAGGAGCTCTGGGACAGCTCCCACTCTCGTGTCCCTCTTCCCCCAGCTCCAAGTAATGGAGCACCTCCTGCCAGGACATGTACTCTGGCTGCGGAGAGATTCCGCCGGCGACCCTAGAGCTTTTGGGAATCCGAGCAGCCGAGGCCGGCGCGAGCACACACACGCACGCACACACCAACACACTCGCTTGAGTGTGTTTACGTACCGAACGTGGGGTGGGAAAACAATGGCGAACCGCTGGGACTCCGCGACCATCCCTTCCTCAGCCCACCAGCCCCGCGCTGTTTATTTCTGCCGTGAAAGGGGGGGGGGGGGTGAAGGGTGCTCCTCCGACACTTAACAGTGGGAGGCGGAGGTGGCAAAGGGCAGGCTGGCGTGGAGAGAGGACGGACGAAAAGCGGGAGGCGGCGCCCGGCTGATCGGCAGGGGATGGACCGGAGCGGAGGGGAGGGTGCGCGCTGGACCCCGGCGGCCCTTCTCGGGGGAGCCGGAGCTCCGCGTTGCGGGTACCCGAGCCCCACGTGGGGTGCGCACGGGACACCTAAACTCGGGCCAGGAATGCTTAAACTGGGTGGGTTGGTCAGGCGGGAGAGAGAGACCTATAGCCCGCCGGTCGCAGAGGGCGGGAGGGTTGAGGACCCCCGACGCCCGGCTCTCGCACGCCACCCCCAGCGGCCTGCAGCCTCTGCTCTCCAAAAGGACGCGGGTCAGCGCGGCGCCGCCGGCCGGCGTTGTGAGGGGTCCGGTAGGATCGGCTCTGCCTGGCAAAACTTTGCTCAGGATGTAAAGTCGCGCGGAAGAGAGCCAGCCCGTCCCTAGGAAGGCGGGGGCGCGCGTGTCAAACTTCGCAAGGCTGGGGAGAGGGGCGCGCGGCGCGGAGGGGCGCACTTACTAATCGGTCAGGCGCTGGCCCGGGGTCGCAGCTCCGCGCTCCCGCTCCTGCTCAGTGTGTCCCTGCGGCCAGCAGCCTGGCCTTTCCGCTCACATGCCCCGGCAACGCGGCGGGCAGCGGGCCGGGGCGGCGCGGCGCGGCCGGGCGGAGGCACGCCCCCCCTCCCGCCGTGGGCTGGAGGCGCTCGGGACTCGCGGCTCGCCGGGCTCCGCTGGCCACGGTAGCGGGCGCCGAGCTGAGGCCGGGCCGGGCGGCGCCCTCCGCCAAGCCAGGCCGCTCGACACTCTGCCCTCTGCCCCAGGCTAGCCGCCGCCGTGCTGCCTTCCGCGGTCCGGCTCCCGGTCGCTGCGCGGGCTGTGCGCTCTGCCCCTCCAGAGCGGGGCCAGAGCCAGGGCCTCGGAAGCTGAGCGCGCCCCGGCCTTCGACCCGCGCCGACCGCTGCTGAGCTCGGGTTCCAGAAGCCGCGCTCGTACACTTCAGCTCCCGGCCGGGACTGGAGCAGGGCGCTCGCCGCTCGCTTCTGCGAAAGCCACTCGGCAGCCTCCAAGGAGAAAGAGGGAGGGAGGGCGCGAGCGGGCGGGGGAGGAGGGAGGGGGGGGAGATGGAGGAGGGAGGGACGGAGTTTCCTCCTCCTCCTCCTCCTCCTCCTCCTCCTCCCCCCCCC